ACAAGCATGTGTTATTATTTAACTAAAATTACACTTCAAAACATCGCTACATTAGACACAGGGACAATTAGGACAAGCTGTAATTTCCATACGTGAAAACCACCACTTGCAAATATACACACATTTTTTGAAATGTGCCCACCCACCTTAATTCACATTATCAGAACTATCCAAGATGAAAGAATTGAAACAATACACGAAGACAACCCATTCAGACAGTTTGGTAGAAATACAAGGTCGTGATATTACATATTCTATTATTTGATATCAACACGGATTTTGTTGCCGGATAGTCGTGACAAGAGGATTAAATTATATTGATAACAATCGTCACGACATTGTTTGGTATGCAAACAATACTGGGGTGACTGACGTCAGGCATAGCACTAAGTGCAAAACAAATACTCTGTTTGGATTATTCTCTTCGGTCAATAACAACAGATTTTTGTATATGTATTTCAGCAAAAAATTCCAGCCAGTGGCGTAGTGGTTGTGTAGCGCGAGTAAACAAATAAACTATCTTACACGGTTACTCGTCGTATGGGACCCATGTTGGATGCAGGATTTAATATAAACAGAGCGCTGAATTTAAAGACATTATTGCTCAAATATGTGAGTCTTCACTGGAATAATCTGGTAGATTGTGTTGATTATGATTTAATAGATTTAAAATTTAATGTCGAACAGTATACTAAACGAATGGGCGAATGTGGAGAACTGGGAGATCACATATGCAGACACTCATTGCGATCGTTGAAACGATTACAGGCGAAGCACACATCCAGTGATTTTGAACAGCAGGGAGAGACTGATTTTACGGGAAAAAATGATTGACTGTTGAGAGTTCATGTTTTTTGGACAATTTTATATTATCGCTGGATATAGTTACATACATTGCTCGTACATCCTTAGTATCTCCAATGAAGTAAATCTGGTCAAGTAATAGAAAACATGTATGTTATTACATTATCTGATGTTTTGATTTTTGCGACATCGTCGCCAAAAGGCTAATGTTCTCTAAAGCAAAAGAGATCGAATAACCAAGTAACTGTTTGCATGTAAGACGTGTATTTCACTGTACCATTATTGCCGAATATAGCTTGTTAATATAGAAATAATAATATAGTCGCCATCATCATGTTTTAACATAAATATTTGTAAAGTTGCCTTCAACACTATTTTTCCACGAACGTGCTAAAGATAGTTGAACGCATTTTAATAAGATGAATTGTCAGCAGCTACATTTCGGTGAGGGTGTCCGTGTAATAATCGAGACCATTCCATTATATGCACGGAATCATACCTTTATGCCAACCGTGTTATGTCGGTTCGGTTGGCTTGAAGCTTTTGGCTCACTTATAAGTCAACCTACCTTCCGGTTTAGTCCTCGTGTCAACAACCGTGTGATCTGCCATTATTGGCTCATTTCAATGGAGCACACCCACTCTGAAAGTAGTAGTCGTCTCGCTGCGCATGTGAGAGATATATGGGTCTCATATAAACAAAGATGGCGACTTTGACTGTTGCGCTGATCAACGAGTACGAACTGAGACGTTTCCAAGCTTTAATTAGGTAATTTTCATGTGATTGGAAAGTATCGAAAGCGTCACCGACGGTAAACAGTGCATAACGCGCCCAGATCAAACCTTATATACTTGTGATTTCCATTTGAAGTGCTCATTGGATTGTGGGAAAATCAATGTTTATCAACACAAATTTCGCACATGCGCAGCGCGACGACTACCGCGCTTTAAGATAGTTGAGCTTGCTCCGAAAAGTTACTGTTAATTAGTTTGATCGAGAAATAGTGGTTGCACATATCGCCGTAATATATATTATATTATGCTGTTACTAGGCAATTTCACAATTTCTCAGAGGTTGTGATGAATTTTTGATTCGAAACAAGATATATAACATACTACATTTAACATATATGCAATTAAATATAGTTCTGCAGTCAAATGTGTCTGTAAACTATGCATATACCATACAGTGTTGAATCTACGAGCCAGTCAGTCAGTTTATATTAGATTGGTCGGGAATGGAATGTGCAACACATCAGTACATTGATGTGAATGGCATCTATGGATCGGTCACCACACATCAATGTTTCTAACATTCTCAAAATAATGTGTACAGTATAAGACTTTTTTGAAATTGTGCCTAAAACATGTTAAGATAGAGTTCTTCACTGTTTTACTTCTAAATCACTGCATATCAATGTTTCCTTAATGACGAAACACCGATAGGATCACACAACTCGAGATGCGGGGTTTACTTCGCCGATCCCCCAGTTATATAGGAAACGCCGTTTCTTTTACCAAATTTGTAAAAATGCAGTTTCGAGGTATGATTGGATGATAAATATTGATACAAAATGACAATATTTAAGAAATGCATCTATGACAGCGTAGTTCAATATAAATAAATTCGCAACGTCCAGTCGTACTTTTCTCAGTGAGATATATTGAACGTAATAGTTGCTAATCGTTCACGACTAGTTAGAGTTTATGAAGACGTGGTTAACAGTATTAATGAGCACTTTCAGTAATAATTTCCAGCAATAGCTAATTGGCTAACCTAAATATCTTACGAGTACGACTATACGAAATACGTTTAATATATCGTAATGGAACACTACAAGCTTCTATCTAGGAATTTCGGAGTGGCTTATAGTAAGTAAATAAAAAGTTGTTTAAATTTTTCAAATATTTCAGCAAGCACATACACGCTAATACCAACTCTAATTGTATTACTGTAAAATGACTAATTTTCACTGGGTTTAAATTTCACTGATTTACCATTTCAGGCATATTCAGTGGGTTTTAAATTTATCGTTTCGTCATTTAGATAATGTGTTCTATGCTAAATTTTACATATTCACTGGGTTTTAATTTAGCGCATTTTCCAGTCAGCGAAATAAGCTAAATTAAAACCCAGTGAATAATTACCCCCTTTACAGTATTCACTGCTAACTACTAAACTAAAATCGCATTATATTACATTGAATCGATGAAGCATTGTGTTAGCATAGCGGTAATACAAGATCGACTATCAATGCCATTCGACATGTTCCTCACAAAACCGCAGTTGCCAGAATTGTATTCAAATAGTTACATTATTTATATACACACCATTTACGTAACATTACCTACTGACTGGTGTTGACACAACAACAGAAATTCGTATACGTGATTGGACGAGGGACAATATGTGCATTGATATCATCATAGTAGTTTGCGTTTCTTATTGGTTCTTACGGTCGCGATGTGTTTATTTACTTGGTAATCATTCACTATATCAAAGCAGAAAGGAATTCACGCTTGATAATAGATGAGAACCAAAATTATCAGCAAAAATTAAAAAGGAAAATGACACTTAATTTTGCTCAACACATTTATTTTAATACTTATTATAAAATGCATTCGAAGATTTGAGATATTTCACGAAGGGAACATAAAAATTTCACACAAGGTAAAAACACTTATTACCAAACAAAGTCATTTTAAAATATTTTTTTCACCTGGCATTTCATCTGGTACTTATAAAGACTAGTAGAAATATAACAAACAAAAATAATAACGATATACATTGCGTTAATAAGCTCTAGAATAAAAAATTATAATAAAATCTAGTAGATTATTTTATTTGGCACAGACTGCGCATGACAACTCGTAACCAGTGACGTACGGGTCGCATTTTATTCCACCTCCAGTCACACACGTGGCTTCCACGGTATATATGAATGCTGTATTCGAGGCAGCTGACGTATTGGGTATAGCTTTACCGGCAGCATCCACACATACGTACTCCGTAGAATAATAGTAAGCACTATCATATCTAGCGGACATAAGGAACCCATAATACTCTCTTGTCCAACCGGAAGGACAGTCATCACGTGCCGGATATAGAATTGAAGTACTTCGGTATTCATCCAAACACACTGCACACGGTACATCGTCATGCAGGCTACTGGATAGGGGACCGGAACTGGATCGATACTCGACTGGATACAAGCGCCCTCTATCAGATTCAGAACCAGCATCAATGACTTCGAGGTCATACTTTGGAATCTTTGGTAGACAGAGGTAATTACCACCACTTCCATAATTGTTATAATATTTACCAGCCATAGTTCCTATAATTAATAAAAGTGTGTTCATCAGAAGGAAACATATGTAACTTTTAACAGAGGGCGCCATTCTATTTCGCGTGCGAGCATTTTTATTACATTTTAATTTTCCTCCATTTCTGACTTAGCACGGCATAGTTTTCCGTTTAGTATGTGAACACAATACGAACATATAAAAACAAATGTCTATCACGAATACAAAAATTTAAATTCATCTTCTTCCAATTGTCCAACGCGACTCCCTCATTTGGGATTATAAACTTCAATAATCCTACCTGCACTACAAATCAATACATATTTATTCAACGTATCTTACCGGAATATACCATAACTGTACTCTCTGGACATTCATAATGACCCCATCGAGTGAATACAACACTGTTGCCCCATCGGGAAAATTCACTGCCATTCACTCCTACAATAAAATATATTTACAACTAGTTTATAATGGAAAAAATAAACGTTGACTTTTATATTCAAATTTATTTAATTTATCACAATTTATACTTTTCTTGGCGTTGATTGATATGAGATAAGTGGTCAATTCATATAAATATTTAGATAAACTAATACTTTGTTAATCATGCCTAGATTCTGGGATGACAGAAGAGTGTTTGTTTTTCTAAAGAGCAGTCGACCTTACTATTAAATATTTATACATACCTTCGCTTGGATATGGATTATAGTGTAAAACATTGTTCACGTCAGCTTTTTTTACTTTTTTCGTTATTTCCAAGTTATTCACATTTTCGAATTCTTCCTGGAAAAACATAAACACGGAACTGATATGCACAGAAATATACACGAAGCCCTTCAGGGCAATTCGGTTTACAATGAATAATATAAATATAGGTTTAACAAAAGTGTTCTTGACCAAACAGGGTACCTCATTGCATCATGTTATATTTACTCTATAATTTGGTATTTGTCTGTCTCAATATTCACATGAGAAGTCACATTTTATGAGAACAATGACAATAAATTGCGAAATTTTAGGCTTCATGCACACTTATACTTCATATTTAGATATTGAGTTAGTGAAAACCCCTGCAGCTTAGACATTTTATTTTGGTCGGACTTTATATCACAGAAGGATTTTCCTAATTTGCCTTTATTATTTAAGTAAACATATAATTACCTTAGTTCCTTCTTTTGTGTCATCGACCACTGCTTCTGTACTTTTTTCAGTATTCACATTTACGGGCTTTGTCTAAAAACATACACCAGAGAATAATTAAAGTATATACGGTAATACACAATATGTCCATTACGAGATTATTATTATAATACAAAATAGATGTTTAACGACAAGTTAATAATATAATTACCTTTTTTTCTTCTTTTGCGTCATTGACTGCTGCTTGTGTTGAACACTGGAGAAATGTAATCAGCAAAATCAAAACTGTTTCCCGTCGAACCATGTTTCTAGCTTGTTGTATCAGTAGTGATTGACTCCAAGGCTGGTAGTTCAGCAATTTATATCGAATTCGACAACTACACTTGTGTAAATATTTTTCTAAAAAATGTTGACGTCAACAAGATAAATTGTTGGAAAGATAACGTTGTTTATATGACCGAGGCTACATATTAAATTAACACAGGTTAATATTGCATTGCACAAGAGACTCGACCCTTGAGATCTTCAGTTGACACAATGCGAAGCTACTTAGAAAATTATGGCTGATTGGCTACCCAAACCTATCACCTGTAACATTCAGACCAATCAGCAAGCTGCTTGTTTGTTGATAGGCTTTTCTGTCTTGTATATGTGCTTTGCTAATCATATTACGTGAAAAACACGCATATTATCGTCAAGACTACTTCAATTAATTTAGGACTAGTGCTCTATTCTATGTATTTTTATCGTAC